ACTAAGTCCAGTAATTCAGCTGCAACATCATCACCTCTCTTAGTGTGATGATGCTGGTTGCTTGGCCTCCTGGCTTTGGAGTGGCAGCATCACCATTACCATCCACTGCAGATTCATCACTCTTCATACATGGATCCTTGATCTGCCATTGAAAACAACCAAGGTAATAAAGTAAATCAAACACTAAATGTAAATTTTCTATATGTAGAAATCTTTAAAATGTTAAGGCTAATGAATGAGGGGCTATAAATTGGCGTGTTTATATATGGAAATTTCATATAAGGAGTCGAAATTTGAAGAGCCAAATTTGAAGAGCCAAAATTTTAAATGAGGGGCTGCCCTTCAATAGCCAAATTTGGATTTCCAATTTATGAAGGGTACGCAGAGTATCCCTAACACGAAGCCAAACACATCTATCCCAAGTATGAGAGGTAATGAAATTGAAAGATATCAATTTGAACAAAAAACAGATTTTAAACCAGACTAAGCCAAGTTTATTAGTGATACCATGGCATCTCCATATTTAAATTATTGTTCCAATAGAGAACTATATAGTACGTGTGCAAATCAATTGGGAATGGAGAGTACTTTTATTAATGATGAAACAAGAGGCAAAATTCCATTAGAAGACTCATAGGCCATGGCAGTGGAAAAGGAGAAGACCAAATCAAATTAAAACTCCTCCTAAATTGACAACGTGACATGGTGTGTTTGGTCTATAAAAGAAGGCCAAGCTCTCCTTAATTCACTTATGCCTCACCATGAGAAGGTAAGAGAGATAAATGGGAAATTCCGCATTCTTATAGTGAGAAAGTGAAAGTGCCAAAGCAAAAGTTTTGTTTTGTTAAAAGTAAATGCTTAGGATATATTAGCTTAATGTTGGATTAATCCACTATTTGGTTGAAAATGTATGTACATTATGAATCCACTATCTGGACGACTAGAACTAGAGCTTGAGAGAAGAGGAAAGCTTCTAGTCATACATAGTAGTTAAGTTGGTTGGATTGATAACTCAAAAAGAGGAAAAAGATTTACCGTCTTAGTGCTTAAGATATTGCTTCTGCTCGAGTCCATCGAAGAAGCCTAAAGGGCGGCATTGCTCTTGCTCGAGTCCATCGCTGGAACGGTGGAGGTCATTCCCTGTCACCGTCGGTCACTGCCTCTGTCATCGTAGATGCCAAATCGCCGAAATTTCGCCGCCGTGGGTCTGCATCGCTGCGCTCGCTGAGGGTCGTCGGGGATTGCTGTCGCTGCTGCTCTCGTCGCTGATTCGGGAGAATTGGAGAAGAAGGTCGTCGCAGCTAGGGATTGGAGAAGAGAGGGGCGGCGGAATTCTTTGATCGAGGAGAAAGAAAAAGAGGCGAAAAGTGAAAAAAAAATTAGGAAGAGGGAGGTGAAATTGGGAAGAGGGAAAACAAATTTAGGGAGAGGGAAATGAAAATTTTTAGAGATTTAGGGCGTGTTTGGTGTGGTTTGATGGTGATATAAGATATGAGTTTTAAAATCTAGGAGAAATAATGTAACACCATAATCCGTTCAATTCTCAATAAATCATTTCAAAGTTCATATCATAAATAAATTCTTTATTTATTCTTAATTTGGGTCTGTATCAGGTTCCCAATCAAGATTACATAAATAGTCAACATTCGGATTTATATTCTATGAGATTTATCAAGATTGTGATATTAGATATCAAAACATATTTCATTTCGTCCCAAATGCAAAAAATAATTTATTTTACTTAAAACAAATTTAATTAATTGAATAACAATTCAATAATAATTTGAGGGTATGTTATGGGGCGTTACAAATAATATGAGTTTTGAAATCTGAAAGAAAGTTGTTTGGAGAGATATAAAATAGGAGGACCGAACACATCCTCCTATTTAGTGTTTCTCATATTTGATTGTATCGTATTACATAATCACAACAGATCTGATAAGATCTAATTTGATTAAATATAATCTGATTTAGTATAATTCTGTAGTTATATGTAGTTTTATTTTGGATTGAAAAATTATACCTTTTGAATTGAATATGATTGTAGTCATGCATTTAAAGATTATATCTGGCAAATAAGATACAACCTTGACAAGTAAATTGATTTCTTTGAAGATTAGATTGATCTTATTGGATTTGAATTTTATTTGATCCGATTAGATCTGTTTGGGTGTGATTCGATCTAGTTAGATCCGATCTGATGCATTTAAAGTTTATATCATAAAAATAAGGCACAACCAACACAAGTAAATTGTTTTTTTAAGATAAGATCTGATCTTATTCGATTTGAATTTGATTTGATCGGTTTTGGTCTAATTCGATCTAATTTGATCTGATCTGATGCATTTATAGATTAGATCAGGCAAACAAGACACGACCTATATAACTAAATTGTTTTTTTGAAGATTTGATCTGATCTTAATGTATTTGAATTTTACTTAATCTGATTAGATCTATTTTTTTATGATTCAATCAAATTAGATCCGATATGATGCATTTCAGGCAAATATGACACGACCTATACAATTAAATTAATTTTTTAAATATTTGATCTGATCTTACTAGATTTGAATTTGATTTGATTCAATATTTTTGAAGATTTTATCTGATCTCATTAGATTTGACTATGATTTATTCCGATTAGATCTGTTTTTATCTGATTTGATCTAATTAGTTCAATTAGTTGTATTAAAAACTCTTTTAATTTGATCTAGTCTAATATGATATGATGAGATCTAATTTCATTAGATTTCATCTAAACAACCTATAAACATGTTAAATTGAGATGCAGTGGCTCACATGAAAACTCTAAACAACCTAATCTGCTAGATCTAATTCTAGTTATATTTAAAAACTCTTTCTAATTTGATATGGTTTAATCTAATTTCATTAGATATCATCTCAATAACATATAAACATGTTAAGTTGAGATGGAGTGAGTTGCATGAAATATACAAGCAATCAGACCTGATTGGATTTGATTTGATCTTATCTTATCTAATTAGATCTAATCTAGACTGATCTAATTGGAATAGATCTAATTGTAGTTATATTTAAAACTCTTTTAATTTGATTTGATTTAATCTTATTTGAGGAGATATGATTTGATTAGATATCATCTAAACAACATATAAACATGTTAAATTTAGATGTAGTGATCTGATTTGGTATAATATTATCTGTCTATGTTTTTTTGAAGTACAATAAGTTGGAGAGTATGAACGATGGTGCCTTTTAAAAAAATTGAGATGAAGAGTATAAAAAATCAATTTTAAAAAATTAAAATTAAGACGAGAATATATTAAAATGTACTCCGTATATTTTTTAAAAAATAAATTAATGTTAAATCTTTTGAGTAATTTGTTAGAAATGAAACATAATAAGTTAACCTAAAATTGAAGGAATACATATTTTTTTGTCATAATGAATTGAAATATTAATATGCCTTGAATCTAGCTATATTGTGTTGTCACTCCGCAAATTAGTAAACGGGGGTCTCGCTGCCCGGTCAGCGAGTCAGGGGGTATGCTATTTTAGTACATTCTCTCTTTTTTACTTCTATTTTGAGATTAAAAACATTAATATTCTATTTTAGTACATTCTCTCTTTTTTTTACTTCTATTTTGAGTGATAGCATTTTAAAAAATTACTAATTTTTTTGAAATAAAAAATACAGAGTAAAAAGTTAAACTAATTAAAGATAAAATCTAAAAAAGTAAAACTTAGCATGGTAGAGGGAATGAAAAAACGGAGGGAAGCTAAAAATTTTGACAAAAAAAGGAGAGGGAAAAAAATTTGGCAAAGGAGAGGGAAAATATTAGGTTAAAAATTTCAAGTCCACAAAACCTGTACCCCAAAGTCATTGAGCCGCCACTCAGACAAGAAGCTGTAGTTTCTCGTTCTCGCCATGAACTGTGTCACGGGAACGAGACTTAGGCCCCGTTCCGTTCAACTTATTTTTTCTTATTTTTTCTTATTCTTATTAAAATCAGATCAGATCAGACCAGATCAGATCGAATCAGATCAGATCAGATTAGATCAGATCGAATTAGATCAGATCAAATCCAATCAGATCAGATCAGATCAGATCAGATCCAATCAGATCTGATCTGATCCAATCAGATTAGATCAGATCAGGACTTATTAAAATCAGATCCCATCAAAAATTATTATTATTATTATTATTATTATTATTATATTATTATTATTATTATTATTATTATTATCATCATTATCATCATCATCATCATCATCATTATTATTATTAGTATTGTTCTAAAAAATGAAAAAGAATAAACTTTAGAAATAGGTTAAATAGAAAACTGAGAAAGTAATCCTTAATTATTAGATGTCGGAAAAATTAGTTTTAAAATACATTGACAATATCAATCTAATTCTATTTTTAAAATATATTTTTATTGCTACTTGTAGTTTGAGTTTCTAAACTTTTGATCTTTTATAAGGACGAGATATTTTAATAAAAATACTATCTCTTCTATATATTGATTATCTAAATTTAATTACTTTTTAATGTATATCTAAATTAAATATTTATTCTAATGTATAATTCTAATTTTAAAAAAAAATTATCATAAAATAAAAAATATTATTACATTATAATATGAATGATTATTCTAATATATGAATTAACTATTTTTATTTTATTAAAAAATAAACATTAAATAAAAAATATTGATTATATTATAATATGAATTATCATTACAATTTTCAAACGTTATTATAAAGTCAAATTAAATTATTGATTTGAAATTTTAAATTAAATCATAATTAATCAGATCAGACCAGATCAGATCGGATCAGATCCAATCAGATCAGATCAGATCAGATCAGATTCGATCAGATCAGATCAGATCCGATCAGATCAGATCAGATCTAATCAGATCAGACCAGATCAGATCCAATCAGATCAGATCAGATCCAATCAACCAGATCAGCTGGCGTATCCGTTCGATTTTAGCTCATCTTGCGTGATCTTTGGAGCCTGGGGTGCGCCATCAGCTGGCGTATCCGTTCATGAGATGATTTTGCTGATATTGGTGAAGAATTTTTGAAGAAATGGAAGTCAACGCTATTTCTCGCACTGTTCATTCGAATTTTTGTCCCTTTGATTCACTTCGATCCGGACACTTTTGATGGGTAATCTTCTGGTATTTTGAGCGATTTGCAAACCTATTCCTTGGTATGAAGTTGGATTTCAATATTGTTTCAATTTCATCTCGATTTGAGGGTTTTTGGATTTCGTATTTACTGTTCACAGCGTGAACTTGGATTGTGTTTATGCTTGTTTTTTTGACCTACTTATTTGGGATTCTACGCTGGTATTGTGAGAGATTATTCATGTTTTTCTAATAACACCTCTTTTGAGTTGCCTTTGTGATTTAATTTTGTGAATTAAACTGCTGTTCTTGATGAGTTGGAACTGTCTCTTGGCCTTCGAATTATTGCTATTTTATGGACTGTAAGACCTATGTGATGGGTTAATTTTCTGGGTTTATTTGCTCTTGATGCTGCTATTGAAATGTTAATTATACAAACTCTTTACTTTTGCCTTGAATTTACAGTTGCTGGAGTTGTGGAGCTGCAAAATTGATTTTGGACTATTTTAACTGTAGTTTTGGAACTGTATTTTGTTGATCCTTTTACTTGCTTATAGGAGGGACTTGCTGATCATGAACTGCTATTTCCACTGAAAACAAATTGGAACTGTGTGATTAAGCCTTGGGGTTGTCACCATTTGACAAAATGTGGCAATTTGATGTTTGAATGATACTTATTTTGGAGGTCAACCCGTGCTGCTGCAGTGGCTATTTTTGTTGTGCATTCAGGCTTGAAATGGAGCTGAAATGGCAGTGCTGGGGCTGCTGTTTTGGCCTCCAAAAGGTTCAAATGAAGCTGTTGGAATTTGAATATTCACTGGTAGTTTAGGCTAACTTTGTAATGGAAGATTGACTTTGGCATTGGGCATCGTGTGGGGTGGTTTTCACTGCTATTTTTTGGAGCTGATTATGGTAAGATTAATGTTTCACCCGCCTCTATTTGATGCATTACCTTGGAGGAATAAGTTGGACCTGATTTTGAAATACTTTTGCTAAGCATATTGACTGCGTTTTTGTGAAACCTGTTTCTTGGGGAGGGAGTACATATGGGTGGACTTGATATCTCGCAACTTGATTAGAATCTAGAAACTATAATAACCTTGGTGTTACTTATATTAATAACATAGATTATATGCACTGAACTTTTTGGCTTAATTGTTTTGTTGTTTTGTCTTATGGAGTGATCATGTTCTTGAAAGTTGAACTATCATTGATACATCCTGCTTATATACCATATGTAGAAGCATGACATTGTGTTTATATATTGATTTTTGAATTTTAAGTGTTGATTTTGAATAAAATCAAAACTGAATTATTTTTTATTTAGAAAATCTACAACTTTGCTTGATTTCTAAGCTAAATTATGAACTTCAATTGTTAAATAGATGCATATGAACTACTTTGGAGCTATTTAGTTAGCAAATAACTCCAAAAAGTTTCAAGTATTTTTGTTATGAACTCTTTCTTGTTATTAACAAACTTTCATTTTAATTATTTAATGGTATGCAGATTGAGGACTAAAGAGGATGCTTTACAAGAAAATGTTGCTAGAGCAAGAGATGTATTCAAAAATGTTATTGAGGGGACAAATAACTAAATTAGGCATGCTGAGTGAACAATTAGAGTGATTTTAATTATGTAAATATTAAATTATTGGATGTTATTTAGACTTGGATTGTATGTATTTAGATATTATTCAATACATTCTACATTTTAGAATTTATTTTTGTTTCATGATCAATATTTTGGAATTGAATTAAATTTTATTAATTAAATATAAATGTAAATTGAAATATAGTAGTCTTTCAAACAGCTTTACAATGTATTAAAACAGTTTTCTAAATCTTTAAAGGACAACTACATAAACCTGGACTGTTAATAAACGTTAGACAATACAAATAAACAGTTGTGTGAAATACAACAAATATAGTTGTTTACATTTTACAAATACAACACAGAATAGCAGTTGTCTTATGCAAACATACTTAGTTGTCTTCGGAGCAGTAGTCTGATTTACAATCTGACTACTATGTAAAAAGATAGTTTGAATATTTCAAGGACAGCTACAAAAAAGCGTCGTGTTATTCTATACTATACAAGTGAAAGAAACGGTTGTTTAAAATACAACAAAATTAGTAGTATATTTTTTAGAAATATAACACAAGATAACAGTTGTCTTATGTTATTTTTGTTTAGTAGTCTTCCAAGCAGCAGTCTGATATATCTTTCAACTACTTTTAAAATTAGATGTCTATATTGTTGAACGACAACACCATGCAATAAGAGTCTGAAGTCGAAAACAACTGTAATATTCATTATAGATAGACAACAAAACATCACAGTTGTCTTTAACTCCAGAAAACAGATGTCTTACTCATATGAGGACAACTTCAAAAACATGTACTCTGAAACATCACAAAATAGGTGTCCTCAACCGTATTACACAATTGTTTTTAAACAGTAGTCTATAAATATATCAGACAGCTGCTCGGAAGACTACTGAAACTAGCACAGTTAGACTACTAAAAAGAACAGTTGTCAGCATCTGTTTTTGACGTAGTGTATCCATGTCTTACACATCATAGAATTGTTTGAAAAATAGATATAAATGTTACCATTCAACTTTTGATATTTTATCATCGGTGGGGTTCTATAACAACTGAATTTCGGTTGCTTCCGAAGCTACTGAACAAATTGGGGTACCTACAGTGCTCCACTCGCAAAATTGATAGTTCTTACCCCTCCTAACCTCCCCCCTCCCCCCGGCAAACACCTCCACTAAGTCCCGACCCCAACCCACCCCTCCAACCACATCAATTGTGGGGTGCAAGTTTAGTTGACAATTTACAGTTTATGTTCTGCTACATATATGGTATGTAATCATGTCCTGTTTTCTCGGCATGATTGATCTAACATGTGTTCATTATGGATGGAGAATCAATCATCAATTACCCAAAATCAGTGGGATCTCCACTGATTAAATGATTTGAGCTCCAGTCAACTTGATCAGTATTCTAGCCTGATCTTAATATTTAACTGGGCACGACATCACATTAGATTCCAAATAGCACATTGTGTTGACCCTTTCTATTCACCAGGCCCGATATCCGTCACCAACCCCCTAGTTTCTCTAGTGATGCACCAGTAAGAAATTAGTGATGAGAAGACCTTGATTCCCGTTTCTGAATCTGAACTAACACATCCTTCGCTCATGCACTATCTCGATTCGCATATCGACCCATCTATAAACACCCATCAAGGATGGTACTTCCCCTTTTCGCCATCAAAATTTAGAGCTTTCACCCTATAATTCACGTCTTCAACCTTCAATTCATCCCTCGATTTGCTCAAAATGGTCACCAAGGTAACCAACCCTGAATAGTAGAAACCAGATCCCACCCTAATTAAGTATCTAGAACTCGCACTATTGAGGGTTCTTCTCGCGATTTCGTCAAAGTTCACCATCCAAAGGACATAAGAGGTGTTACCCTAGCCAACAACCCTGAGATGGGCAGCTACTTGGTCTTGTACTATGATTCGCTCCTTAATGGATTCAGACTACCAATCCACCTTTTTATTCATGAAATTCACACCACTTGGCAGATTCCTCCCTTGTAATTTACCTCCAATGCCCACAAATACTTGGCCTCCTACATCATATGTTGTGAGGAGCAGAAAAGGACACCACTAAAAGACAATTTCCTTTGACTCTTTAGCATATGGGGAGTTTTCCCTTACTTTAGTGTTTACCCAAACAAAGCTCATTCCATGGAAAATTGGCCAAGAAATTTTTCACCATCAAATTTCAGAAGACAACCCACTTGACCTCCCCCACAAGTGCTCTTGTCAAGCTTAATATGCTTCTCCAAATCCTCGTTTGTGGAATCGACCTTCAAAGGAGATAAAGGAAGACCATTTGATCAACCATGATGAATTTCATACCTCGATGTTGTTCAAGTCTGCTTGGTTCTATTTCCTTGACAATGAAGTCATGGTGCCCTGGCACAAGGGGTAGAAAACCATTGTGCTGGAAGAAGGAACTCGACACCCGGAAAATTCCTCCCCAACACGAGAGGAAGAAGAAAGTGTGAAGGATANCCCCCCCCCCCCCGAGTTCTCGCACCAAAACACAGAGGCCTAGAGCTCTAGAGGCCTGCTAGCACTGTGAAGCACAAAGGCCTTGATCCTCTTGACCTCTTACAAAAGAAGAAGTTAGGGAAACCTGAAGGGGAGAACATCACTAACACCTAGACGGCACTGGTTTCTACTCCCTTAGACTTGGAAGATGGCCTAGAGAGCCTTCATTTGACCTTCCTCCCAAAACAATGGGTCAAACGGTCCTCCCAGATGAGATTCAAATCCTACGGCCCCCTTTTATAGATAGCGCCCAAGCCAAGCAACCTGCATCCATGAAGACCATCAGTTCCAACTCGGGTGTGGAGACTTAATATTCTCCTTGAGTTCTTCGTGATGAGGAAGTCGCAGGATCCCAGCGTGGTGCTGTCAATGATATCTCCCAGCCTCTCAGCATCATCCTTAGTGATCTTGCACATTGAGAAGTAATTCCCAATGCCTTGAGAAAGATTGATCTTTTCGATGCCCCTTGTTGCATCCCTACTCAAGATCATCCCGCCTCATCTTCTAGGAATCTGAACCTTCCAGTAATCAAAAATAGGTTCATTGTGAAATCTTTGGTGCACATAGGGCGGAACTTCCCAATTCAGGAAGGTCTCGCCTCCATATCTTTTGACAAAGGAAACCTAGAAACCCATTGGGTATGGTTACACCAGTACTTTTGGGGAAAAGGAAGTGTTGGTGTGGGTAGTAAATACCCGACCCCGGTTCACCTTCTGTTGCATTTTCTAGAATTGTTGATGTAGATCCTGGGTATCCTCCATCATTATCCCTATCAGACTCGACGTTGCTGCGCCGGGAACCTAGGTTGGCTTTTGGACCTCAACCTCCTCTCCAATTATAAGATTTTTGGGAACAATGCGTGCATCCAAGTGTTACCTCGTGGGTGGGCTGCCTGAAATGAAGATCCCACCTAGCTAACATTTGGACTGGTCCGCCCACTAGGGGCTCTTCCCAAATTTATCCCCTAGCCTTTTGCTCACAAAGATCTGTCCATGTGACAACCTTTCGAACACCATGGCCCACAGGCTGTGTGGGGCTCTTCATGTATTTGAATCATCATCTAGGGTCCCCTCAAAGACACAGCTTGGTTCTCATTCTTATTCTGGATCATTTGTGACTACAAGCGCCAAATGACCGCCTCGCTTTCACTCTCAATCTCCTCCTCATCATATAGTCTCTCTAGAATCAGGTGAGAGCATTGCCATGTCGTACAAAGTGTAGGACCTCAGGCACTACCAACTCTTATAAAACCAATTGGTGTTAGAAGAGGCGCATACCCTAGCTTTATAGTGCATTCAACACACAAGTGCCTAAGACATTCGTTGTGACTTGGATCACATAGCCTCCACCATAAGACAATTGATGCACACATAATAAACATTCTCCCCCTCAGCAATCGCTCCCACTGGGAATCAAACTCAAGACCTTAGCTCTGGTACCACTTTTAGGACCTCAGGTCTTACCACTCTTCTAAAACTAATTGGTGTTAGAAAAGGTGCATACCCTAGCCTTATGGTACATTCAGCACACAAGCACCCACGATATTCAATTGTTACTTGGCTCACATAGTCTCCGCCACAGAACAGTTAATGCACACATAGCCAACACACAACACCTCTTGTGGCTCATCTATGGGTCCACGTGAGATGTCTGAGGGACCTAGGAGTGCCCGATCAAACCTCTTCATGACATTTGTCATCGTGCTAGAGAAGTTGTCCCTGTAAATGACTGCTCAGAAGTTGCCGTCATAACCGGTATAGGAATTCTAAATTTTTAGTACAAAAGAAATGAAAAGTGTCATTTAAAAAAATTAAAGTATAAAAGAATATAAAAAAACTAGTTAAAAATTAAATTAAAAAAGTACTTTTTATTTAAATATAACAAGTTGAAATTTAAATTTTAATGATTAGTGGTAGTGGGGATGAGTGAAAATAAAACAAATAAAATGATTTTTGGTTCTCTACTATCTGTATAATATTATTTATTTAAGAGAGTTTGTTTTCTTGAAAAATAAATTATGTTAAAAGGATGTGTGAAAAATTTGGAATCCAATGGTATAAGTTTATTTTTTTTCAAAAAAATATTGGACGACTGAAACTATGGAAATCAGACACATAGTACTAAACCAACAGAGCAGGAAAACCTTTTGTTTTCCCCTTCTTTCGTCACTTTAAAAAAATTAATTATAACCCCTCGTCCATTCATTTCACCTCATTAAGAGTAGTAAATTGTTTTAATAATCTGATAATAATAAAAATAAATAAATGTTTTATTTATTTAGCAACTATCCATCTCCCATCACTTTCAAGAACCTTCTCTCCACCCTATAAATAAGGTCCCTTAGGAAGAGTGACACGTAATCATTTTAGAAAAAAATATCCATAGCTAAGTAGAGGGAGAGGTAGAGAGTAAGAATGGATTGTGGCGTTGCTGAAGGTGTGCCGCGCGTTGACTCATCATGGAATCATCCTGCCAAGATTTGTCAAGTTATCGTTTAGAAAACCGACACTGAAGGTGTGCCGCGCGTTGACTCTAACCCT